TGTTTGTAGATGCAATGAGAAATTGGTTAAGTAGCATGAGTATGAAGACCTCTAGAGAAAGCATGCACCCAGCAGGAGCGGGCGTGCACCTTGATAGGAGCGGGCGCTCCTAATATAGGCTCTATAATCTGCCTTGCTGACTTTCAGGTGGAGCGGGCACGCATCCAAGTAGGTGTGGGTGCTCCTCCCAGCTCTCCAACTTCCTACCTCCACTAATGCAGGCAGGAGCGGGCACGCAGGAAGACCTGGAGCGGGCACTCCTACTGTTTTGTAGCCCAATTTTGACGATTTTACAATGTAATTTCAGAGTGTTTAAATACAACCCTTGGCTTCAGTTTTAGGATCATCTTTTCTTCCTTTAGTTTTCTTAGACTCTTATCTCTTAGTTAGTTCCCTAGACTCTCATTAATTAGCTTAGTTTCTCTCAAACTCAATCATTGAAGTAGATTAATTTAAGTTTGTATTCTCAATTTCAACATTTTCTCAACTTAGAAGCTTCAATAGTAATCTCTTTCCTCTATCTCTTACTCTTTATTTTCTGGTTTTAATTGCTTTGAATTGATAATTTCTTCTCTAATCTTGATTATTTGTCATTGCATGTTCAATCAACTTAGATTTTATACTGCTCTCAACTTGTTAGATTGATGTTAGAATTAGAACTTGTAGCTATGTTGTTCTTCACCATGTTTAGTGAGTAGTTTATTAGCTAGGGGTTGGGTGAAGACCCAACCAAGCTATGGGTTTATTGATAGTGTGCCTGCATGTTCATTTTGGGTTGATGTTTGATTGTTAAAGAAATGGCTAATTGCATGTGTAATTGGATGGCCATTTATTGCTCATGTATTCATTTCTATGCTTGCATTGAAAGATGAAGTTTGGTTGTGAACCTTTTCTTGTATGGTTAAACCGAATTTCTATCTTGATTACGGTTCCTTGTTTGGATGATGTAATAGTCTTAGTTGCGATAATTAGGTGTGAAATCCCAATTACTTGTGCCTTAAAGCTATCTTGGCCCGATCGAAAGACAAACCCGAGTTAGTAGTCTTCTTCCCAACGTTAAGATTTGGTTGACCTATCTTGTTAGTTGAGTTTGGTTTAGGAATGCTTAGTGTTGTGGCTTCGAAAGAAGGCAATGTTGAATGCCCTTTCTATCACCCAATTTGTGTTCATGCTTGCCTATTGTTTTGATCCATTGGTTTGGTTGGTGTCAATACCCATTTCCCCCTTGTGTTTGTCCTCATAGTAGTTAATTAATCAAAACCCCCAATCAGTGACCGAACTAGATTACATACAACTGTTTCATAATCTTGGTGTACTCATACCCCATTCCCTATGGATACGATCCTCTACTTACCCTAGACTTGTCTTAGGTTGGTTTAGGTAGAAATATTGTTTGGCTTATGGTGATTGTCCAACGATCGATCCATCCCTCTGTCAATTAAATATAAATATACTAATTTATGTTAACCATTAGAAAATCATATAAATGCAAAGCAGTAATAATTTTATCCTATTACATGCGACAAATAACATTGAAATCATTTACCTATTAGCAAATTATATAAACTGTATGTATAGTATATTTCACAAGAATATTTTTTAAGAAATAAATAATTGTATTTAGTGTTACAATTCTTTTTATAATATATGGGTCAATTATGTGTCAATTATTTCTTGATATGTAAATCGAGGCATTACATTCTTTTTGTTTGCCAAATTTGAGCTTTATTTGGAACTAAAAAAGGCCAAAATGACTCTGAAACATCACTCGAATAATTTTCATTACAAAAATCATGACACGCGAATCGAGATATTTTTTGACACGAAAAATAAGACACTTCCTGATGACGCCCTAAATCTTAATATGAGAGTTTTTTGGCACGTAATCGGAAATTAAAATATATTATTTTTGTGAATGTGACTCTAAAACGTGATAAAATTTCAGTTTGAAGATAAAATCTAATCGCTACAATATCTTATATAAAAAAATTTCAAGAGATAAGTTTGGTTCACAATCTTTGCTTCTTTGGAGTTTTATTCTATTAATTTTGTTTTTTTTTTTTTTTTTTTTTTTTTTTTTTGTGGTATATGCATTAAGATTGTTATTTTCAAAAAGACATTGAAATCTAAACACTACCTTATACGTACTCGCAAACACGATTTATTTGTATTTTTTTTATTAAATATTTTATATATTATATTAAATATTATATATACGTTATTCTATTCATTTATTTCTCATTTGAATTTTTTTATAATAAAATAAATTTTAAATTTCTTTTAGTTTTCTGTAGATATTTAGATAAAATTTCTAATAAAAAAAAAGATAATTATCTTTATTTTTTTATTAGAATTAATATTTCAGTATTAGTTTTCTGCCATTTTTGCTGACCTTAAACCTTTTTTCCACATTACTAAGGTCGTTTAACTCTCCTACTTATTTACTAACGTATACGTCTTTGACTATTAATGACTTTAATAATTAATGTATTTCTACACAAATTCCAATACAATAGAAAACGAGAAGAGGAAGAAGATGACTCATTTCAATAGTTTAATCGAAAAGGGGAGGAAGGCGTATTTCAATTATTGTTGACGATTAACTAATGAAGATTAACTCATTTAAAGCCACAAGCTATTTTACGCAATATCTTCTGCAACTGATTACACAACGATTAATTAATTGATGGGAATATACTCTATTTAAACAGTTGAAAATCGAAAACTTAAAGCCCTGTATATGTTGTTAATTCAATTACATGACCACGTAAAATCATTTCATGGCGAAATGGCCGATAAAACAACTGGGACATGATGAAAAATATAATTTCACGTATACAAAATTCACGTTTTTTTTCATCTTTTATGGCTCCTATTCATGGTGTTTATGAAATGTAAAATGACTTTTTTTTTGGAATTTTTTATTCAGAAATTATATATTGCATTGGAAATGACAAATAAAATTTGAAATTCAAATATTAGGTTAAATTGAAATTTAATTTGAATTTAGATGAAATTTAAAAGATAGTGGAATTTGGGTCCCATTTAAACAACCAATGAAATGTTGTTATGTCAAATTGTATGTGGTTGTAACACCACAAAATCTCCTTCTACAGAAGTACTAGTATAATACATATAATTATACCATAGAGATAGACTTAGGTGTATTGTCACCGCGTAATTGCGCAAGGCTACTCAAACTACTATCTTAATACCAAAAATTTGCAGCAGAAACTCAAACTCTTTTATTAATACTTATAAAAATGTAGCATTGTTATGAGTATTCAAAATAAAGACAAAAACCAACATTCCCTAATCTAGGTGAAGCAAATCTTGGGACTCGCTTCCATATGCTCAATCATAACTCCACTTGAAATAGTCAACACTGCTTACCATTAAGGTAAACAGGGCGAACCAAAACAAATAGGAAATACGAAATAGCAAAATATGCTAAGTACATTAAGTGTAAGATAAATAAACTTAATTTATTAGCAAAAATGCTTTTAAAACCAATCATGAAAAACTCCACTTTTTATTTTAATAATTCTAAACTCATAATCTAAAACTAATTCTCAAGCTTGTCAAAATATATAGTTCCAATAATTCAATAATAATGATTATGAAATCAACTCCTCTTTTTTAAAAGCTCAATTCCTCTCTTAAGTGTGCACACCCCCAAATTAATATCTTTATATTGAAAGGTTATCCTTGAGAAATGACTCGTTCATACAAAGTCCAAAGTCTTATCTACCAAATCCGCATAGTGGAATTAATATAATCATGCTTGTAAAGCTTTAGTAATGATTCAATAATTCCTCTTTATTACTCATTAAATCAATAATTCAATCCTTTATAATAATTTACCTCAAAAACAACTTTTAATTCAATTCAACATGCTTTCAAAATCAAACCTTTTTAAACCTGATAATTAATTCAAACCATTCAAAACATAATATTAAAAATCCATTCTCAAACATTTTTATTTTAAACCTGAATTCACAAGATTATTTCGTTAATTATAATTAAATTCAATCATTATTAAAATCATATAAAATATGCTATTCAATCCAATCAATTTAAAAGGTATCTAGCCAGCTAAACATATGTACCTTGATCCTCGCTTAAGAAACACACAAAGAACCTCAAGTAGTCTTGTCAAATACACCCCACAATTAAAATAACCTTAATCAATATAAGGTCATCAAATATAACTTTTCATTAGGAAGCTGGCAGCAAAGCAATATAGAATGTAGGCCTGCTAATCACCTATGTCTGTCTTTCTTTCTCTTTGTGTTTTCACTTCTCTAATTTTACGCAATTGTCATCAATATTTGTTTTCTTATGTTAATTTGGGATATTCTATTTGGTAGTCTCGTGGTTTCAAAAATTCCACATGGAAGACAAACTTTTTTTTTAGTCTCTGTAGTGACCTCGTGGTTTTGCATATTTGATTATAGTGACCTTTTTTAGGTTTATGGCTAACCTTTTTAGTTAAAATGGTTAACCTTTGATTTTTTTTTTTATTAAAAAATTATTTAAATTATATTTTAAAATAATAAAAATATAAAAAAAAATTATATTTAAAAAAAAAATTATATTTAAAAAAAAAATTATATTTAAAAATTATATATAATAAAATTATATAATTATATTTTTAAAAAATTATATTTAAAAAAAAATTATATTTAAAAAACAAAAATTAAAATTATATATATTTTTTTAATTTTATTATTTTAAAATATAATTTAAATAATTTTTTAATAAAAAAAAAATCAAAGGTTAACCATTTTAACTAAATAAAATATCCCTTTTAATTTTAAATTGTCCAATATTTTTAACATTTTTTCTTTCATTTCAGATTTATATAAATTATGAATTAATTTTATGAAAGTCAGCTTTTATTAGCAAACTTTTATGGGCTTACTTTTAACAATCAGCACAGAACCTTCACATACTTTGAGCCGAGAATGTGTTAGTCAATTTAAACACAAGTTATGAGCTCAATTGTAGAACATTCTTCCACAAATTTTACCAACAAATTTGTACAAACTTAGGTCGGCAGTACAAATGTACAATCTATGCTCCAAATATAAAATATGATCCTTTACATTCTCATAGTTTCTGTTTCAGATGATTAGTTTACAGGTACAGAAACATGTGAATTAGTTTTAACTACTGTCAATTTGAGTAGATTCAGCCTTGTTGATTTCGCAAACTTCACTACCATTTACAGAAGAAATTAAATCATCACTTACATTAATACTCTTTTCATCTTGAATTCTTGTTAAACATTTCAGAACGTCTTCCATAGAAGGCCTTGTTTCACTGGTAGCTTGAAGACATTGAAAAATGAGATCAGCCACAGCGATTACTTCCTCCGTCACCTTAGAATTCTTTTTGAACCCGAGCTTAGGATCAATAAGCTCGATCCAAGCATGCTTTAAGATCTTGTTGATAGCCAAACTTGACAAATTGATTTCTTGTCGAGTTCTGTTTCTGTCGACTGCAGGCTTTGCTGATATAAGCTCAGCCAAAACAACTCCAAAACTGTAAACATCGCTTTTATTTGTTAACTGGTAACATTGCTGATACTCTGGATCAAGGTAACCTGGGCTTCCTTGTGGCATTGTTGATACATGGGATGCATCCAAGGGGAACAAACGTGACAGGCCAAAATCCACTACCTTGACAGAGTAATTATTATCAAGCAGGATATTCTTTGTTTTGACATCACGGTGAATAATATCAGAGGAATGAAGGTATACTAAAGCACTTGCGGTTTCTATTGCAATTCTTAGCCTAATAGGCCATGGAAGAGATCTCACTTTTGCTTGCTGTCCGTGCAGATGGTCTGCAACTGTGCCATTTGGGATGTATTCATATACAAGCATGAGCTCAGGGATCCTACGAGTGGTACATCCATAGAGTTTGACAAGATGTTTGTGATCCAATCGAGTAAGGATCTCAAGCTCATTCATGAATTGGGCTACATGTTTGTTCTGCTTCTGATAGAACAGTTTAATTGCCACTTCTCGGCCATTTTGCAATACTCCTACACATCCAAATATGTTAAAAATACATATCAGCTAGTAATCTGCTTCAACATTTAGGTCTGAAAACTTATCAAACCTTTTACTGTCAAATTTGTAACATGAAATAATTAAGTTATGCAATTATACCATCAATGTTATGTAAGAGTATTGCTCTCTTTTGAGAGAAGATAGTGAAAATGATAAGTGCTAAATAAATTCATAGTTCCATACCATGGTATACAGTGCCAAATCCGCCTTTGCCAAGTTCTTTAGAAGGTTCAAAGTTATTTGTGGCTTGTAGAAGCTCGTTATAAGTGAACAACTGAGCTCCAAAGTATGAACTTTGTTCTTCATCAGGTGCTATTGATAACTGAGAGGTTTTCCGGGAGGTAAAGAATGACGATGAATGGTAATGTTGTTTACCTCGTACAAACACAAACAATGTAATCACGACAAGGAGAAAGCCAGAAGCTACTCCAATTCCTGCAACAAATACATATATATGTTTATGAAAATTTGTTATAAGGGTCAAATAATGACTTTCCCTTGTATATGAAATTGTTACCTATTCCAACCTTAGCTTCTAGGCTCAAGCCTTTACCTGCAGTGTACAAGCATCCCAAGTTCAGAAAACAAGACAACTTACAAAACATTCATGATTTTCTAATTGACTAGCGCGGCCCAACTATTTGATATGAGAAAGAATATATATGATTCCATGATAAAAAAGAGTCTAAATTCTTCTGAAACTAACCGAATTAGTCTCTAGGATAAAAGCAAAGAGGACAGGAATAAGTCATGATTTACTTCAATATGAAGAAAGAAATCAATTGGAGTATTGAGTCCTTTCTTTTAGCACAGGACATCAGCTTTTTTTACTTTCAGAATCAAATATGATGATCAAGAGCAATGAAAAACAATAATTCTAACAAAGAAATATAGTATGCTTAAAGGGGAGAAGTAAAGCATACTTGGTGTATGATCAATTGATTGAGGGCAGACTGTGGGATACAATCCACTACTGCAAAAGCAAGTTGACCGACTTAAAGTCATATTGTACACACAAGCTCCACCTGAAAGAGTACAATCCTGGCATTGACCTTGATCAATAACCCATCTGACCTCAAAACCTGTCTTTAAAACATCGCCAACTCCTGATGAATGATGAGAAATCAAATCATTTAATGCATCTTTATAGACGGGTACATATAGCTTCATGCCACATATTTTTCCAAGTTCATGCTCCCATCTATCCGTGATCACAAAGAAAGAAAGGCGATTTGGGTACCTTTGCTCACAAGAAAAGGTAAAGGGTGCTCCCTCAAGAGGTTTCAACTTTGGACAATCATAATACAAAGAAACATTTCTAACATTGGAAGTGTAGTTGAAAAGGGCCAAATCCAAGGTAGTGTTGTGCAACTCTCCTAATCCAGGGCATTCACTACGCGAAAATTCTTCATGAACTATCCTCAAGGTGCTAGTGTTATAATTGATGTCAATCATATTGTACACCTGAGACATGATGTTAATTTTCAAAGTATTACCATCACAAGAAAGGTTGAAATTCGGATGGCCACAATATTCAGGGCGTCCATTTCCCCAAAAAGGGTAAGCAATTTTAAGGTGTGATGTTCCACAAGTACTGCTTGAGTTAGACATGCACATTTCATATCTCGAGTCAAGATAATCTCCTGAGTAGACATTATTGTACAAGGTTAAGAAGATAACGAGGAACAATGATAGAGGAGACCGAAGAAGATTTGGATGCATTGATTTTTATGTGGTAGCTAGTAGCCGGCACGCAAGGTTGTGGTAGGAGAGTAAAAAGTCAAATTATGGTATAAGAGTAGAGTTGATGATGATGATGATGATGATGAATAGGATGTGCTAGCTAATCGTTATTCCAAAATAAACCAATATATAATTTTTCTATTTATAATTAATATGATAAAATTCATTACACTAAGCATATTGCAGCCAAGTCTAGAGTGGTTCCAAGTTCGATAAAACAAATGGCAAACTATGACAAAATCTAAGATGCAAATTAAGTCAAAATCAATAATTGATCAATGGTCCTCTATTAAAATTTTAAAATACAAAAATAAAATTCAAATGTTGAGCTAAATTACAAAAACATTGCTTGTTTGACCAAAGAACTAAATGTTGATTGTTGAAACCTGCTTGGATGACAAAGGTAACAGTTCAGAAAGAACTATGCAGAATGACATGAAATGGGGTGGAACTCATACTCGGTAATTAACCATTCGATTGAGAACAGATCGTGGGATACGATCCATTTTTTCGTAGAAGCAAGTTGATTAACCTGAAGTCATATCGTATACACAATATACATACACCAGACGTCCAGACATTTAACAATTCTGCTGGTATTGACCTTGATCAATCACCCATTTGACTTAAAACCTGTCTTTGAAACATTGCCAACTTTTGATGAAGGATGAGAAACCAAGTCTTTTTACAAGTTTCTAAAGACGGGCACATATAACTTAATGCGACACACCTCTATCTTCAAGATCATGCTCCCAACATATCTCATAAGGCAATTTAGATAACTTCTTTTATAATGAAAGCTAAAAGCGCGAAGATGTTTTACCTCTGGACAGTCGTGATTAACCCTTTCCTTCAAGGTGATTTCTACATTACAATTGCTGAAGTGAACAAATGAAAGACACGAAAGCTATGCATGTTCCTGTTTTTTAGTGAATTAGATGTTTAAACATATACTCCCTCCGTCCCATAATACTTGACACAGTTTCCATTTTTGTCCGTCACACAATACTTGACATGTTACTAAATATGGAATGAGACCATTAATAAAAAAAAATATTTTCCCACATTTCTCTCTCCTCACCTATCCACTTTTTGTAATCTTGCAATATAAAAATACAAAAGAGAATCTTTTATACAATAAACAAATGTTTTAAATGGACCCATTTTTAGTTTTCTTAAACTGCGTGTTCACCCCAATATCTCAAGTATTATGGGACGGAGGGAGTATAGCAGATAAAAAAAGAAGAATTTAGAACATTAAGTAAAGTTATTTATACCATGTAGTTAGACTTCTGATTGAAACTCATCTTACAACTTTGTAGTCATAATTGTCATAAGCATCAAACAAACTCTAGTTGAAGTTACAATTAGCTAGTATACCGTGTATAATTCTATACAATCATATGTTTTGATTGGTACTTAACACTTTCTTCTTTCTCCTGCTTTGAATAAGTACCATAAATTTATTACTCAAGAGTAATTTTGTAACAAAGAATTGAAGATCAAACACTAGCATTAACTTTATACCGCATGACCAAACTATCCTCCCTTGGTGGTGAAATAGGCGACATATCACCCTTCAACATAATTACATCGTCATCAGGAATGTCAACAACTTCCGCCCTGTCCAATTCACTTTCTTTTTGACTTTGTATGTTTAGTAATGTTTTCAGCACTTTATTCATAGACGGCCTCATTTCTTTCGTACTCTGCAAGCACTGAAATGCCAGTTCTGCTACTGCAGTTATATCCCTCTTAGCTCGAGAATCAGACTGAAACCCAAGAGAAGGATCAACAAATTCGTGCAAGCTATTTTGGATTTTAGCAACTGCCATATTAGACAAGTTAATCTCATTTCTCCTCCTTGTGATGTCGACAGCAGGTAAAGAGGATATAAGCTCAGCCAACATGACCCCGAAACTGTAAACATCACTTTTCTCAGTAAGCTGGTAACACTGATGATATTCAGGGTCTACATAGCCGGGGGTCCCCTGAGGAGCTGTAGATACATGAGTAACATCCAAAGGGAAAAGCCGGGAGAGCCCAAAATCCGCTACCTTGACAGAGAAATTACCATCAAGGAGGACGTTTTGAGTCTTGACATCACGGTGGACAATGTCAGAATCATGCAGGTATACCAATGCACTTGCTGTTTCTGTGGCAATGCTTAGCCTTCTTTCCCATGACAGTAACCCCTTTACGCTTTGTTTCCCATGTAGATGATCTGCGACAGTACCATTTGGAACATACTCGTACACAAGAAGAAGTTCCCTACTCTGACGAGAAGTGCAACCAAAGAGATTGACCAGGTTTTTGTGGCGAAGATTTGCTAGAATTTCAACCTCATTTAGGAACTGCTCAGCTCTTTTGCTATTGTTTTCGTACAGGCGTTTGATTGCCACTTCACGTCCATCTCTAAGCTTGCCTATTAGAATGGAAGGACGTTTGTTAAACATTCAAGCAATGAAATGTGGTCATGTCTTCTTTACCTGAATTTTATCAAACTGAAATTTTCTTATCGATCTGAACAGATCAAAATTAAATTAGAAATAAAACAGATTTTTGCTTATTGAAACCAGCTTATATACCATACCATAGTACACCGTGCCAAATCCGCCCTCTCCAAGTTCCTTTAAGGGATTGAAGTACTCTGTGGCTTCTTCGAGCTCCCTGTAATTGAATACATGGACTCCGAATACAGTACTTCCGTTCAGTATATGTAAACTTGATGCAGCGGATGAACGACTATATGACTTATTGAGAGTCAGCAAATTAGCTGAGGAATTCTTCTTCTGATGGCAGCGATATAAAAATAAGCACACAGTGCTGCTCAGAAGTACAAATCCTAAAATTCCTGCAACTGTAAAACCGATTTTTTCTTTAAATCATAATCCAACAATCTGGAACTGCAAATCTGAAATTGATAGAGAATAGATTACCTAAGCTGATAGTAGACTTGTTAGACATTATCGAACTTGACTCTTTTGGACGTGACTCTTGTAGACCTGAGTCCATCGGACCTGCATCTAAAGACAAAGGAAATATAGAGAGTTTATATATGAGGTAAGAGTATTGAATAACGTTTTTTTTTTTTTTTTTTTTTGAAAGGTACTGAATAAGTACTTATATATGTACATAGATATTATAGAATAACATATCACTTTGTCATATCTTAATCATTCATGTCACCAGTGGTTTAATCACGAAATGAATTTTGAAGCCTAGAAACTAGGCTGTAAAGGAACCGGAAAAAATGTAGAATAAGATCCAGAGAATCTATCAAACATGCATAATATATGCACCTGAAGAACTACAATCCTTCTCTTCATTCTAACATAAAAAATATATATAAAGCATATACTTCGTATATGAAGAAATACCATCATGGCAGGTTTTGGGATGGGTGTTTTCCTTGCAAAAGCAAACAGATTTATCATCAATCAATCCACATCGCCCACCACTAGTTTTGCAAACACTGCAATCATTTAGAGTCCAATTCAATGTAAATCCTTGACTCAAAATTTGCCTGTAGTTCATCTTCCAATAACTACTTGCACCATAACCATGAACACCCGAGTCCACATCCATATCCAAATCCACAGGTACTGCAACCATAGACTCACACAATCCTAAGGAATAGTTCTGCTCAATCAAATCCTCGAAATGGAAATCACCAAAAGACTTGTAAGTGGCATTTTTATTGTCTACACCCGCTTTACAGCTTATAGGATAGTACACATAGTATGTTGTAGGAAGATTTGAGCAGTTGTAGAACAGGTAAAAATCAGCAGAATTTGTGGTGAAACTAATTGGTGTATGTTCAAGGGTTAAATTATTCGAGGGAGTCGGGCAGGTAACAGAATCATTGTAGACAACAGCATTTACCAAATGAAAAGTGTGGTTGAGATAATCAACATGGGTTATAACATAATCATTATCTGAAACTCTAAGGATCGGAGTTGTATTGTTTTTGCAGGATATGTTAAAGCTTGGATGCCCACAATATGATGGTTGTTTGCTTGGAATCCAAAATGGATAACTTATACTCGAAAGGTTGCCACAACTTTGAGGGGCACAAAGTGTGTAATTTTGATCTGAACTCCGCGTTTTGATGATTAATGAGGTGAAAATGGTAATAAAAATGTAGGAGGACATTGTGTTCAAGAAGTTTTCGGTTGCATTGGAGTGATAGGAAGAGAGAATGCAGAGGATTGAATGAATGAGAGGAAATAAAATGTGAGGAACATAAAAAGTGCAAGTTCAAAAGAAGTGCTTAATTAATAGACTGTGTTGACACTTGACATAAAAGAAATAGTCCATGGTCTAAGACTCCACTAGTCACCAACCCTTAAAAGTGGATGTTGACATACAAGCTGCTGTAAGTCCTCTAAAGTACCTTAACTGTTAGGTGCAATATTCTAATTCCATGGTTATAATGGAGAGATATGTTTGGAGTCCCACGATTGATTCTTTATTCTATTGGTCTAATGGTCTATTCGTTTGAGGTTTTAATTACAATGAACTAGTTATTGGCCCGGGCGATGTCTCGATACATTCTAAATTTATAACTTTGATAAAAAAATTAATAATTAGGATTGCTGTTGAACAATATTAATAAGTTGGTGAAAAATATAATAATCTATATTATCTTTCATTAATTTATATATAAAATATATCAAATTTAAATATGGAGGTTATACATATGAAGAGTTTTTCAAGTAAACTAAACTTTTATTATAGAGAATTAAATTACACCAATGAAGAATTTTTCAAATTAACTACACATTACTATAATTCAATGTGGTGAGAGGAGGGTAACACACATAGGATGACGCATGGCGCACATGTGGCACCGAATAATAAATAAAGGTGACACGTGGCGTTAACATGTTCTCCCTATGAGTTTTAACAATAATAATAATAATAATAATAATAATAATAATAATAATAATTGTTTCGGGTGAAAACAATGGGACCTTGCCGAAGGTCCGATGAAGCGGAGAAGACTAGATTCGATCCAAGTAATGTTGGGCCGAAGGTTTCCTGCACAGTAAACACACGTAAACTAGCCTCGGGGGTGTTGCCGAGGAAGGCCCCTCCGATGCTAAAGTCAGTACAATGTGTAGAAAGAGAACACTATGCAAGAGAATTAGTTGCTTGAGGCTTTGCTTGAATGAATGTAAAAATGTAATATTGATGGCTTTTATACCTCTTCATACATGGAGAAGTTGGGCCTTAGCCCAATTGGTTTGCCTTGAGGATTGATCTTTGACTTTAGCACAATTGGAGAGATGAACCTTGACCTTGGGTTTTTAATTGGATCATTTAATGCCTAAGCCCAATTGGACTAAATTGGACCCAAACAACTTGCCCCCCATACCCGATTTGGAAGGATGACGGGTCGGGTTTGATTTAATTCAGAAAAGGAGGGAAGTGAATGATTTAATTAATCCAAAAATTTGAATTTAAACCGTAATTAATGAGATAACAACGGTTAAGGAGGATGATTGTGGAAGTTGGACGGATAATGGGAAGTTTAATCGCAAGGTCGTGTGTTTAACGGTTACTTAGTGGGGTATTTAAGAGAAATTGAAAACGCGGACTCCCCGCATTCCCATTTCTGGAGATATAATCAGAGGCGCGTCATCTCTCCTCACTTATTCACCAACACAAACCCAGAATTCTCGAGAGAACCCAAGAACCCGCATCAAAACTTCGCAAATTCCCTGAGAATTAAGCTTAGAAACTGAGACTTGCCACTACGAACTCGTAAATCGGCAACTTTCGCTTCAGATTAAGGTAAATTCCTTTGATTTTAGTTTATTTTTCTTCGAATTCGAACTCCTTCCCTCTTTTTTTCGACTTTTTTCTTCGAAATTATCAATGGCAAGAGGAGTAAGGGGTAGAGCCCGTGCTCCAAGAAGAGCAAGGCCAATTCCCGATCCTAGGAACAGGATTAGGACCTGGAATGGACAAAGAGCAGAGTCTGACCCTGCTGAAGGGATTAGGGCGACTCCAATTTCCTCGGCTCCTCCTCAGAGAACGGAGGGGCCGAGCGCTTCTGGGCGGGACGATGAAGTTCCCGCTGTCCTTTGGGATATCCTCCCCGGGTTTTCAGAGTGGTAGGATGCCGAAGTAGCTTCGGCCATGATAAAGAACCGCCCCTACTCATGGTGGGTGGAGAATGTCGAACAGTATCGGTTTTCCGAACAAATTGAGTTGCATTACGGCATCCTTGAAGCTGATGGGTATTGGTGCCGAATGCCCGTGGCATCCGATAGAATCCATCGTCCACCCCCGGGGTATGTGGGGGTGTACACAAGACAACTTCAGTATGGGCTGAGGTTCCCTTTGGACGTATTCGTCCGAGACTTGCTGATCCATTACAATATTTCCCTATGTCAGCTAACTCCTACTAGCATCCGAAGGGTGATGACATACTTATGGGTCTGCAAGTTCTTCAAGTATGTGCCGAACCTGCACTGCTTCAAAAAGCTTCATCGGCTAGTGCCAAATATTCAAAGTGGGCACGGAAGTCATGGTTCCGGGTGGTACCGGATTGAGTCTCGGCCCCAGTACCTAACCATGTGGCCGAACGACTCTTCATACAAGGACTGGAGAGGTCAATGGATTTGGGTTAGGGCACCCACGGACCCGGGCCACCCTTGCGTCTTCAGCGCTCCCCGGTACCTTGCTGAGCCTGATCCCGACATGGGAGGTCTAGGTCCCCCCGCAGATAACGACCCAGATCCGAACCTTAATCAACAGAACATCTTCGGCAAGCTGCCGAACCGGGGGGGCAGCGGCCGAATGCAGCATATCCCGGAGACTTGGCTCCCCGATACGCATTATGTTTTCCAAGAGAACATGCTAGCAGCTGTCGGCCTCAGCCGAAAGTTTAAGGATGGTAAGCTTCTTCGGCTGGGGCCGAGGCTTTTTAATTATCTCTTTTTCTCCTCTCACTTCGCTTTTTTCTGCTGTGCCAACCTAACTGAACTGACCTTTCCCCTTTTCTTTTTCAGAGCGGGACGAGACCAACGTCGGCATTAACTACGCTCGTCTTGGCGTCAACCGAGAACGAGTTGTAACTGATCGGGCCCCCTCTATCACTGAACCGAGGCATAGGGAAGTTCATCTAGACTCTTCCCACTTCCAAATTGAGGCTGTTGCTCTGTATCAGAGGCAGAAGCCTTGGTGGAAGAAGAGAGATCCCTGGTTTCAGCTGCTGGACGAAGAAGCTGAAGCTGCCCGTACGGCCGAAGAGGTTGCACGGGTTATTGAAGCTTGTGAAGGAGGAGAAGGGTCCTCCAGGGCTGCTGAAGAGGAAGCTGCAGCTAGGGCAGCTGAAGAAGACGAGGCTTTGCTGAAGACCTCGGTGAGCTTTCAGACTTAACTTTGTCTGTTTCTGTTTTTTTTTTTTTTTTTTTTTTGTACTCACATTCTTCCTCCCCCCTGTCTTTTACAGTTTGAAGAGAGTAACAGACACAGAGAAGGGAAAGCCCCTGTTCGTCCCGAAGACCAGATACAAGAAGAGTCTTCAGACTCAGACATGGACGAGCAGCCGCTTCAGAAAAGGCGCCGAAGAATGGCCATCATCGGCCCGCATGACTTTCACCGGAGGCCGATGACCATCGGCGTTGAAATAAGGGAACCCGAGGAAGGCAATGGATCGCCGAGGGTTCCCCGGCCACCACCTCAATCACCTCAAAAGACCCCTCCGCCACCTCCTGAGATGGAGGTGGATCAGAAAACTCCCGAATCTAAGGGAGGGGTCCAAGAAGAAGTTCAGGAGAGTGCTGCTGAGCACAAGAATAAGGATGTCGTGATGCCCAGTGTTGAGGGTTTCACGGCAGACATTGCAAGAGAGGTTGAGGCTTTCGTCCTCACCCCTGAAGAAGAAGAGGTCATAATAATTGACTCTTCTGAGAAGGAGGATGCTGAGCCATCCAAAGTTAAAGAGGCTCCGTCATCATCCTTTCCTTCCTTCCAGACTCTGCAATCTGGAGAAATGGGTTTCTCGGCCCCCCGAATTCCAATCCCAGATCACATCTGGGACCTCATATGGGGTCAGAACTGAGAAGGTGCTGCAGCCTACTTCGGCGATTTTGCTGGCACGTCCGAAGTAGATAGGGCAAGAATCTGGTCGCTGAAGGCCACTGCTGGGATGGGCGAATCCAGCAGATCAATTCCTGACCCAGCCAGGTCTAACCAACTGCTGATGATGCAGGTGATTTTCCTTGCCTTTATTTTCTCTAAAATTCAGCTCTATTTTTATTTTATTTTTTATTTTAACTTGTGCTCCTGTTTTCAGTTCGTGCACAATCAGACTCTCACTGTAGAGCTGATAGATACCCTACAAGATAGGGTAGACGCTGCCGAGCACGACAAGAAGGTAGCCGAAGAGGAGTTAAAGCTTGCTAAGCTGAAGCAAGCAGCAGCTGAAGAGAAGCAGTAGAAGGGTGAGGAATACGAGAAAAAAGCTGCTGAAGCCTTCAAAACCTTCTGCGACGCAATGGAGAAGGAAGTTTTTCCTCCACTGATGGAAGGGGAAAAATTCCTCCAAGAGCACATGGGAGTGGACATCTCCAAATTCAAGGCTACCATTAAGAGCCGAATCCAGGAAGGAGCTGCTGCACAAGCTGAAGTGCAGCAACGACTAGAAGCTCTTGAAGCCAGCAGAATGGCTGCTGAAGAGATGCTCCAAGCTAGGGATGTCCAACTCTCAGAAGCTGTTGCTGCTGCTGAAGCTTAGAGAGCTAAGCTCCAAGAAGCTGAGGATCAGCTGACGGCCAAAAAGGAAGAAGTGGCCCAGGCTCAGACAGAGGCTTCCCAAGTTCAGCAGGAGCTGAATGAGCTGAAAGGTTTCTCCTCCAAGCTCGCCGATGAGCTGAAGAAATCCAAGGAGGACTTGGAGGAGACCCAGAAGAAGTTGGCTGATGCTGTGGCTCTACTCAAAGTCCTCGTCTATACCCAGGAAGAATATGAAATGGGTTTCAGAAACGAGTTCAGAGTGTGCCGAAGAGTCTGCCTTCATGCTGAGCCGAAGCTGGACTGGTCCAAATGTGCTGAATGGGTCCAGAATCCCGAAGACCCTCATATCAAGTATGCAACTCCAGTCGAAGCTGAAATTCTTAAGGCTGAGGAAGCCGAAGAAGAAGCTGAGAGAATGGAGTTGGAGGCTGAACAGAGGGAAAGGGAGGCTCGGCAGAGTGCAAAGCCTGCTTCTTCTGCTGCTGGGGCTGAGACCACCATGGGGCTCAACAATGCTGACCAGTCTGATCCTCGGGCTGAAGCATAGGAACTCGGGCAGTCGTCTTCAGAATCTTGCGGTTCATCATGTGCTCAACTTTAGACTTGTCGCTTTCTGAATTTTTTTGCCTTGTTTGTTTTTTGCTTCAGCTTGCCTTGTCGTACAAAACAGTTTATTTTTTTGCTTCTGTACGTATTTCGGCAGCTGTTATTTTCCGCTTGTGGGCGGCTGCCGATACAGTTTATTTGAAC